CTGTAAAATACTGAGTGCAATCGATAACTGTAATGTAAGCTGTAATGCAGTGGAAAGACATTAAGGAAACTGCAGGCCTTTAAAGCTCATTATCTGCAGCTAAAGCAACACTCCTAGTGAAATTTGTTTTAAGAATTTGGAGCTGGTTTGTAATGGACTGGATGTAATGTCAGGAACATAAATATCTGTGAATTTAACCAGGAGAGTTTGGACAACAAAATGGAAGGGAAGGAAACCCAGTAGAGAGAAGGTGAAGGAAGCAGAGGAACAGCAGGAGGAGGACAATACGAGGAAGGAGAATGAATGAACCCGAAAAAGACGAGAGCGAGTGGCCACAAGATCAGCAGAAGTTCTCCCTGCCACTTGTGGCCCCCTCTTTCTCTGAATCTTTACAGATGACCCCCTCAGTAAAAGGCTGGTAATTGAAGGCAGAGATATCCCTATAGATAAGGACCACTTTCGCTGGTGATAATGGGATTGTTGCTAACTTGAGCTAAGGGTGTCGTGGATGATCTGTCCCGGGTCAGACGTTCCATAAAGAGGCTGATGGAAGGCTTGTAAATTATTCAGTCTGTTCCTGCCTCACACAACAAAGACGGGTGGCTGTGTCCCAGTAGTGTCTGAGAACCAGTCAAAAGACCAGGCTCCAATTACCTCTTCCACTAAATGCTACACAGACAACTAACATCACGTTCAAACCCAACTAACCATTGGCATAGCATAAGGAGAAGATGTGAGTGCCCAAACGTGGTGCAATTTCTGAAAAGTTTGCATCGGACCACAACATGCGGGTTGGGGAACGATTACAGGCCAGAAACCCAACAGAGAAGTGGTAAAGCAACAAACATGACACAACAGCGTCTTCTTTAGGGTCTGAGGTCCTGGTTGGTTACTTTTTCCACTAAACAGTTTTGTAACTGCTGCTACTGTTTCTCTGTGGTTCTGTTTGTCAAAGCACACACACACAAACCAAACTACACAAGATGAACAAATGAGGACAGAAACAATTAAATACAAATTTCACCAGTCTCTCATGGAGTCATTTCATGAAATTAATTAGTGCTGTTGGATGAACTGATCCTGCTTACCCACAATTCACCCTTCCCCCTCAAATTCTGAGATTTGAGGAGTGATGAAAAACACTGTGAACTGATGTGCCAAAGGCACGATGAGAAGGTTTTTGTCTGTACAAGTCGACATGTCGCCACCTACGTCTAGAGCACAGATACGGGATTCCTAAGAAATCCCTGATGGGTGAAGGAACTCAATCAACACCCAGCTCTGATGCGCTTTGACTTGGCAAGACGGTGATATGGGTTCCTTTGGCAACGGTATGCCAAAGAGAGGGAGGAGCTGGTGTTTCAGCCTCAGCCTGGCCTATTTGCGCAAATTGCCAGGGAGAAGTGAGCGCAGGTGATGTCAATGTCCAGTAACCAGGAAGTACTGTATAGCTAACACCAACGTTTAAGAGGAGACAATGGAAAAGAGAGCTGCTGGGCATAATCCTGTAAAATACTGAGTGCAATCGATAACTGTAATGTAAGCTGTAATGCAGTGGAAAGACATTAAGGAAACTGCAGGCCTTTAAAGCTCATTATCTGCAGCTAAAGCAACACTCCTAGTGAAATTTGTTTTAAGAATTTGGAGCTGGTTTGTAATGGACTGGATGTAATGTCAGGAACATAAATATCTGTGAATTTAACCAGGAGAGTTTGGACAACAAAATGGAAGGGAAGGAAACCCAGTAGAGAGAAGGTGAAGGAAGCAGAGGAACAGCAGGAGGAGGACAATACGAGGAAGGAGAATGAATGAACCCGAAAAAGACGAGAGCGAGTGGCCACAAGATCAGCAGAAGTTCTCCCTGCCACTTGTGGCCCCCTCTTTCTCTGAATCTTTACAGATGACCCCCTCAGTAAAAGGCTGGTAATTGAAGGCAGAGATATCCCTATAGATAAGGACCACTTTCGCTGGTGATAATGGGATTGTTGCTAACTTGAGCTAAGGGTGTCGTGGATGATCTGTCCCGGGTCAGACGTTCCATAAAGAGGCTGATGGAAGGCTTGTAAATTATTCAGTCTGTTCCTGCCTCACACAACAAAGACGGGTGGCTGTGTCCCAGTAGTGTCTGAGAACCAGTCAAAAGACCAGGCTCCAATTACCTCTTCCACTAAATGCTACACAGACAACTAACATCACGTTCAAACCCAACTAACCATTGGCATAGCATAAGGAGAAGATGTGAGTGCCCAAACGTGGTGCAATTTCTGAAAAGTTTGCATCGGACCACAACATGCGGGTTGGGGAACGATTACAGGCCAGAAACCCAACAGAGAAGTGGTAAAGCAACAAACATGACACAACAGCGTCTTCTTTAGGGTCTGAGGTCCTGGTTGGTTACTTTTTCCACTAAACAGTTTTGTAACTGCTGCTACTGTTTCTCTGTGGTTCTGTTTGTTGAAGGAGAGGAGGCTTTCTAAATTAGTAAGCATACTTTCCTTGTTCCAAGCAGAATAAAGCTCCACCTGTGTGGGTATCAGCAGGAGTGAATGTACGGATGAAGCTCATTGGATGTGCATCCCCTCTGTGAAGAGCGTGGGTTTCTTGGGAGACATCTGGCTCCAGCTTTTGCTGCTCAAATTATGTGTCAAGAAACAACTGTCTTCCTAAAAATTTGCCTCATTTGGTTTCTTTTTCAGATACACTGTACCTCTATGCATTCATTTGAGATGACACTAAAAACATTTTACTAAAGATTTGACATCGTAAGGCTCCTTATACCGGTTGTCAATTCTAATTACATCATATATTCTAATAGAAACAATAATGCTCCAACAAATTAAATATCACATTACAAGCTGGTTTGTGCAAAATTCAGAATTAAATAATTGACATCCTTTTAATTAATAAGTTGGAATTAGAACTGAACTGATATCCTACAGGAAGTCGAACTGGAATGACAATTCAAAGAATTATCTATTTATATGTATTATCTATTTCTATGCCATTCTGTCTATCTGCCTATAAGTCTAAAAAAACATTAAAATTTAATGGACTTCAAAGCGATTTAATTTTTTTAATTTCCAAAACTATTACCAAGAGCTGGTTTAAGAAAATGTGCTTTTCTAATTGAAAATTACACTTAGATGAACTTCTTTGCTTTTTACTTTATACTCCCATTCAAATTCTGGAACCTATTTTCTATCTCAATTCAAATTCAGGAATTGATTTGGAGTTTTAAATATTCTCAATGCACACAACCCTCATTAGACACCTTCGCCCTCTGTACGGTCATCAACTCTGAAAAGCAAACTCTTGCTTTTATTAATTTGTGTAACGAGACATGGCAGATGAAGATTGTACTTCTGTGGCTCTCTGGGAAATTAGGCATACCAGAGTTACCATGTCCAAATCGTTGTTATCAAGCGTGTCTGTGGCTATGAAGTCTGACAAAATGTTCAGCTCCAATTAAGTCAGATGCATTGGCCATGAGAAACTGCCCTTTTTGTTGAGCCGTACAAGCACTTGTGCATTTGAATGATAAATTTAGCATGTGGAGACTAGCAATATTTGCTTAAGCAGTAAATTTAGCATACACCTGGGATGATTTAACCATTTTTAACTTGGCAAATGTTTTCCTTTAGCACACAGGTGGAATAAAAGAGCTGGCAGAGAGACAAAGGGCTTAGGATGTGTTATGATTAGGCAGGTCGCCAAAGCCGTTATGAGGGAATGCAGAGATTAAATTGATTTCCTTCTCACTCTCTCGCCTGACACATTTACAGTGCGAGTTGCCAGTGACAGGAGGGGAAGATTGACCAATGCAGCGACATAATCGAAATATGCTGACCTTTCCCTGGGTGTCTAACGACCAAACATACAAAGCACTCCCAACTGCAGCCCCTCAGCTGAAGATTATATAACAGACCAACTCATAATTCCAAGCATGATTAGAATGCTAAGTGAATCTCTGACTATTTTTCCATGACATTGAAACACATAACACAGTAGGATCAAAACAGTCCATTTTGAGACTATTGTAAGAACAATCAGAAGTTTGTATGTGTTATATGCCCTATAAAACACACAATAGCATGCAATTGCTAACAATATTACAACCTATAATTTCTTTTAATTTAAAAAGATACAATAAGCAACATTCTCAAAAGAGAACAAAAGGGCCAACACTATTAAAACTCTAATGGAAGCCAGTGAATTGAGCATCACTTGTCCTTTTTGCAGTAAAAGGGCCTATTTCTTCTGAGTGGACAAAATCCAAAATAAGGTGAATGGCAAGGTGAAACACCCAGTTTCATATGGCTGTGCTGTTCTACACTATAATTATTAGAAAAAGATGGCTAGATGTATGACAGGTTGTAACTTAAGACATCTAGCAAACTATGTGTCAAACTCGGTTTACAGCTTGCATAATTAAGCATTGATTATTTCCTTCTCTGTCATGGGAGCACTGCATCTCATGAAGGCAATTTGCAAAATAGCTTGACTTGACGGAAATGGTAAATGTAGATCTGGATTCAACAGCAGCCAAACATGTTTTGTCGGGAAATGGGAAAACCCCGAGAGCGTGAGAACCCACGAGGAAGGCTGGGAAACAAGAGGCTTTGCTGGGGAGAAGCCGAAACTGACCAGCCCCCGTGTAAATTATGGCCTAGACAACAGATTAGTGGTCTTCAATTTTGCAAGACTACATTTTGGATGTCGCCACACCAACTTAAGGTCTTGAAGCAGCTATATGAGCTGATTATATAAATCAAGAGTGATAAAGGTAGACATCCATAATGTCATAGTGCTGGGCCACTTCAGGACCAGGACTGAGAACCACTGCACTAGATTACTTACACCAGTGTTTCTCAGTTCTGTCTCAGTAGATGTGCTCCATAACCTTGGATGTGAGAGAATGGTAAGACACCCACTGTTGAGGGACCTCCAGGGGCCAGATTCAAGTGATTACACAATGCCAATAAACTGTGAAATGAACATACCCAATCTTCAAAGTGCATACTGCCATTCTGCAGCAGGTCTTCAAACTGTATAGTGCAGTTGGCCACAAAGTCATCATAGCCAATCGGCGAGTCGTGAAAGACAGACAGTTCGATTTTCTTCCCATCATAAACCTCTGTTACGAACTCATCGTTCCAAGTTGGACTATTCGTCTTCTGCTTGGTAGAAGTTTGGCCCACACGGGAATCGTCCACGTTGAGGGCGATATATGTGTCCAAGAGGAAGGTCTGGGTCTTTGGTCCCACAGCATGCCGGAGCGACCATGCGGTAGGTTTCAGGTCCAAAGCTTCGCAAACCTTGATCTTCAACACTCCATTAAAAACCACCATGATGACGCTCACCTGAGATGCAGCTGGCTTCTCTGCAAGAACAGACGGTTTCAAAAACAGGTTTTGATTCAGGGGGTCGCTATACCCGTGGAAGTCATCACGTCATCAGTATACATGCACGTATAGATGGATGCTGTGATGATTTAATCCCCCAAACCACTAGTTGGATCAACCTGATTCTCTCATTTAAGCGGAACAATCAAATAGGATGCAAAAAAGCGATATGCAAAACCAGAGGCTCCTGTTTTTATTTACGATCCGTCTTTCCTCGTAATGGGAAGCATACGTAAACAAGCGAATTCCCTACGTCTGGAATAGCGCTGAGTAGAGGTGCGAGTCCAAGAGGCAAAATATCGGCAATAACACAGGGTAAAATATCCCAAATGTGATGGTCTTCAGCGGGGCTTGTCTTGTACTATTCGTTTTCCAATAGGCGTTGATTGGGAGAGGCGTTTGGGATTCCTCCTTCTCCCAGTCTGCTGACGAACCGCTCGGAGACTATTGCCATCCGCTCGCCGAGATATTCAGCTGCTTCGCTTCTTTGTTGATTTGAGAAGGCAAAAGCATTTGAGCTACACGCTCATGTTAGTCCTTTACGCTGCAGCCTTCCTCCCTGTTCGCCCTCTCTCTCTCTCTCTCTCTCTCTCTCTCTCTCACTCACTCACTCACACACTCACTCTCTCTCTCCCTGCGCTCGAGCGCCAGTTCAGGAAATGCGCAAAACACGTCAGATGATTCAAGCCGCGCCGCGTCCACTCTGCACCGGATGGGGGAGCGTGTGTGTGTACAGACAGAGGAGCAGCAGCGTGGGGAAACAGAGGGAGGCACCCGAGGGCTGGATTACATGAGTCTGTTGGGTTCATTAATGGACCAAATAATGTCTACAATGTGTCTGTAAAATGAAGGGTTAATGGTAGTGTAAACAAAAGTAATTTAGTTTTATTTTGTTTATATTTTTTCCTTGGATGTAATTTTCTTACTGCATAACTATAATTAAAATTTGATAATGGCCCATACTGACTGTTTCAGTCACAATAGAGTTTCATTTGTTAAATGAACTAAAATGTAAGTGTAACATGGGCGTTGTTCTATTGCTGCAAGCAGATTATTACAAGAGGTATTGTAAACTATGAGATATTATAAAATTTCAAAAGCGGCTGAGGTTACAGGAAAAAGGTTATCTTTTGCCAGTTGTGTAAAAAGAAATGTTAATGAACGTTGAGTCATTTTATTTCATCAATATTAAATAAAATAATAATAATCTTTTAATAGTCTTTAATAAATAAAGGGGTGAATCACATTTGACCTGTGGATCACATGTGGGTGCAATTTCTTATGTCAATAGGAAGATTAAGAACCATGTAAGTCAGTGGGGCCTCTCTCTCTCTCTCTCTCTCTCTCTCTCTCTCTCTCTCTCTCTCTCTCTCTCTCTCTCTCTCTCTCTCTCTCTCTCTCTCTCTCTCTCTCTCTCTCTCTCTCTCTCTCTCTCTCTCTCTCTCTCTCTCTCTCTCTCTCTCTCTCTCAGTCACTTGCATTTGCAAATTGTCACATGCTTCTTGACTTTGATAATGACTACATCTGGGACTTATTCCAAATCAAAACAGTTCGGTTGCATATCTATCCTGCATAACAAAATTACAGGGAGGAATTGTATCACAAAGCAACACTTATTTGAAAATACATTTACTCGTGTGGCCAGAATGTATTTGATAGAGGCTACAACAGATATTTGAAAATTGAAAGTGTTCTATTTGTGTAATTTAGTGAACTCTAGTGGCGGACAACGGTGCTGCACAGGTAGCATTACAGGAATTATTCATGCAAGCAAAGAGAAAGCACAACAGGATGTTCAAGTTGACAAATGGCATGAAACTAACCAAACCAAACAATTTCAAAGGAATTAAAGGAATATTGAGTTATAGCAAAGAGATAGGACAGTATTTGACTCAGTCATCATGCATGCAATAAGAACCTTATTCCAGTAGATGGCACTGTATGTTCAGTTACAGTTTACCAAGTGAAACATCTAAAGGGCCAATTCAGTTTTTACGCGTACGCTAGGAAATGCGAAAAATTCGGGCTGCGAAAATTTACGTCACGCGCACTGAAAAAAAATGGTAGCTACAAAGTTGTACCCTTTCAAAAGGTACACCTTTGCTCCTTAGGCTGTTTACTCATAAAGGGTGCATAGCCTACATTAAAGGTACATGCATTATGTACATAGTACTTTAATGGTAAATATCAATATCTTTTCAAAAGGTAGGCTACTGTTCCAGTAGCTTTGTACCTTTTATTTCAAGTGCGTGACAAATTTTCGCAGCCCGAATTTTCGAAGGGTTATTGTCAGCATACCCACTCCTGCCAAAGTATAACTATTTGTTTCAGGATTTTATGTGCATACATGGCCATATGATCTTATCAACACCTCAACTGATCCCTTCAATAGTTTTTCGTTTTATGCTTTATGCTTGCCAAAAATGTAGTCATAAGCAGGCTACTTTTGAATGACTGTCAATGGAGAAAAACGTTTTATTCTGGATAGAGAGAAATTCTACTCATAAAGCGTATACTGTGCACATTTACCACTACTTTTCAGTGTTACTGGACAACTGTGGACAATGCCTCGCCTTTATTTGAATAACTGTTTTCCGTGCCACTCTTTTATTGTGGTATAGTGATGGCATGTATAAACAAACTGGTTGCTTGCTTTACATGTTAATCAGTTTTTCACAGAAAAACTGCCCAGTAAGACAGTTTATTTTGTGTAAGGCAGTCATGCCATACTAGCCAAACTTCATTGGGTTGCACGCTCTGCCCCAGGGGTGTCCAAACTCGGTCCTGGAGGGCCAGTACGTGTCCTGCAGAGTTTAGCTCCAACTTGTCTCAACAACAAACCTGCCTGGAAGTTTCTATGCCTAGTAAGACCTTGATTAGCTGGTTCAGGTGTGTTGGTTGGAGCTAAATTCTGCATGTCACCGGCCCTCCAGGACCGAGTTTGTACACCCCTGCTCTGCCCTATAGGGCTGCATTACTATTCCAGCCATGCAGGGGGTAGTGTTGTGTTTATTTAGGCTGACTGGGCTCAGACTCCAGAAGGAAGATTAGAAATGCCTATTGAGATCTTATTCATTCGAACACAAATGCACATAGAAATGGATGATACTCTGTTGTGTTTGTTTATGACTGCCATGAACATGGGAACATGCAATCATTTCCTTTAAAAAAAAAAATCAAGCAGCATGGCGTGTTAGATCTGCATGTTACAACAGATTGAGCACTTTTGATAGCTTCTTTTGAGGTATTTGTGCATTTTATGTCTCAATTTTTAGATGTCTGGTGAATTATATTTTTTAAACAATTCAGATGTTTCTGAATTATGCATCCATACAACTTTATGAAAACAGAACATAAAATCAGTCATAAATTGATAATAATTGATTAAAAAGAGAGATATGTTTCAGTACAAAAGCTGTGTGAAGCTGAAGTCTCAATTTTTTCTTTCAGATAACAAAGATGCATTCTGCAAGTTTTTAATGTTCCAGAAGAGAGAGAGAATCTTGCTTTAATTATATTCTGCCATAATCATACCCATACTGTCACACTGATTAGCACATGCTAGTGCAAAATATGGGACTTCACTGCTGCTTTCCTCTGTTGTTCTGTTTTGGGTTTGTAACATATACTCACTATACTTTGTATGCAAGCAAAAATGAAACAAATTTTATCCTGTGTTGCTGTGGGATCAAGATGTACCAGAGTATTGAGTGTCAGATTGTAAAAGAAAACACAAGGAATTAGTTTGATCAAAAGGAATTATTGTCTTGAAAGCTTGATTAACATTTCAATCTGACATGTTATATTACGCCGATCATGTTTAGGAGCATTAGCTCTGAAAGTTGATTGGCAAACAGGTTCTTATAATTCCAGCCACAGACTTATTAAAAGGTGCAAGATCTTGCTCTTTAAAGCTCTCAATAAAGTCTGAGACCTCGGATGGCATTAGTTCCTCTCTGCTTAAGGAGCACAAAGGTGTATTGATTTGGTTAATTCCAACCATTGTGAGGGAAAGGTGGTCTCGCTCTTAGATTCAGCTGCACAGGAGTGTGTGGCCCTTTCACAGCACACTCCTTTCTCCTCCTCTCAGGTGAGCAAACCTGCTATCACACAGGTTTCCACTGTGGAAAGGTCAGGGGAACCCAAGGCCAAGAGAAAGGTCACGTACGTGGGTTACTCCATGCGTCCAATCAATTGAATTCAAACCAACATCAATTTTAGCATGTACTTATCTTGTTGGCTGCATCCCATGTAAAACTGGTGCTCACCTGTTTAGTTAGATGGTTATTATCAGAGTGCACCACAAAGCAGCATATAAGCTGTCTCTGAATCTGCATATATAAACAAAAAGACAGAATAAAAATATTAACTTACAAGTACTTTGCAGAAACAATGTTATAAAATAATATTACGAAATATCAAATTGTGACTATAGAAACATAGCAATGTAAACTTTTAAATTAAAATGATTAATTAAAAATACTCCAAGTAATACATATTTACTGCAAGTCAGTTATTGCGTTATTTTGCTTACAGCACAGTGTTTCTCAGTGCACACACTAGAGACCTGTTGTACCTTAGCAACTTTTGCCTGTTGA